ATTTGAAAATATAAATCTATAAATGTAAATTATCAAATATAAATTTATACATATAAATTGTCAGATATAAATTTATTTGAATGTAAATTGTCATATAAATTATCAAATATAAATGTACAAAAACATAAATTGTCAAATATAAATGTACAAAAACATACATTTATAAATATAAATTTGCAAAACCATACATAAATATAAATTTGCAACAACATGCATTTATAACTATAAATTTACAAAGATGTACAGTTATAAATATAAATTTTTAAGTATAAATTTATAAATGTGCAAATATAAATTTATAAATAAAAATTGTCATATATAGATTTAGAAATATAAATTGTTGTATATAAATTTATAAGTACAAATTGTCATATATAAATTTATAAATATAAATCGTCAGACATAAACTGAAGAATTTCTCTGCCTTCATTATTTTATCAGACTGTATATACACCCTCCAATTCACATGTACTCTCTCTAGTCTTTAAAATTACAGCTATTTTTATAATTAATGTATAAAATCTGCAGTCTAGTCATAACATTATATAAAATTATGCTACAACTGTTTTTTTTTAAATAAACGACTTTGTTTCCAGATTCTTACTTTAAGAAATGCCATAAATAAAATTCAAAACATGTGCATCCCAAGAACAATGTAGCCTTTAAAAATAAATTACACAAGAGTGTGTGTTTACAAAATATTGTACGTACCTTTGAAGTCTCAATCTTATGAAAATTCGTCAGATTTAACACACATTATATTTTCTTATCGACGATTCTACTTCAATGGTGAATTCATGCCGTAGCACCTGTATCTTGCAATTAACGTAGACAATTTATATTCTCCATAAATACTCGCAGTTTCTGTGCTTTACTATCTTATCATCGAAAACCATGATCTCGTAAACTACTACTCGATGCAAATGATGATATGTTTCTCATCCAAGTTCGCGTGCGCTTCGTCACACTTTATCGCACTTATACGAGAACGAAATCCCGATTCGGCATAGTAACGCGGCATAATGAAGCCCGTGGGTATTAGAAAAACAAAGTAGCTACCGGTGAAACGAGTTTGGTGGACGTGAACAGGCAAGTGTACTGTTTAAAATTGATGGAAATAGTAATTAACGAGTATCGTTTCTGGCCGCCGATAGACAGACACGCAATCCACGGTCGAACCCAATTCATCCCTAACTCGAATACCGCATCGATAGTATCGACCAGGTCGTTGCGAAAGTGGCTTCAATCTTCGTCCGAGCGAATGGGATTCGCAGTTGATTCGCAAACAAGATTCCACCGCGTTTTAAACGTTCAAACAAAGTGAAGTGGCCGGACAGCTGATTTATTGTCGGGATTTCCGGCTCTCATCCCGGGATCCGCGTTGGTCTTTGTAAGGGTGCCGCGTGTGCCTGTATTAATTCGACCGTCGGTGAATTGAAATTTCGGGAAATTAACGTTATAATCCATGCATAATCGGGGCCACTCCGTGACTTGCTTTCCAGTTTGTCTTTCGCGTTATGTGCCCGGAATTTGTCATGTTAACCTCGGCTCTAACGGACCTTTAATTCGCTCGAGTCCACAATGCTATTATTCTGCTGTATATATGTATTCGTTTACAGTAACTGAGTAAATATTTATTCCTATGTATTTTACTTAATGCGTTATGTACCGAAAGGCAGTCCCAAGAATTTCCACAAGATCAAGTTCATAATTTAATGAAGACTATGAATAATTTATAATTTCATTAAACAATGTTCAGTACGGATTTGTGGGCTAATAATAAATAATAACGAACATATGTACATGTGGCAATCCTGCATTTGCTAAATAAACCATCTGACACACAACTTTCACTCATCAAGAGGAATGAAATCTCTTTAAAGTTGTTAATCCATTGTCAATTTATATGAAAAAATTGATATGTCCTGGAATCGAGTTACGTAAATCTTTTTATACTTATAGAAAATTTTTGGTCTTATAAGACTTAAATTTGCATCAACAGAATTAGCGTACGCTTGATTCATGTATATTTAAATGATTATATTTAAACGACAATACGCGTTCAGATTTATTTATATTTTGTGATATATCTATAGGTTTTTTTAAAGAAGTGAGCATTGTTTCGAATATTTAAAGAGTCACTAAGATTGATAGGTATATCGACTAGTTATCGTCGTTGTTGTATATACCACAAATAAATAATGAAGTATGATAAAATACAAATGTTGACACATTATTATTTGCCTCTTTCAAAACCATGCAACGTTTGTATTTAACTGTTGTATTATTCAGTATATAAAATTGTAAACTTATATAAAAATATGCAACCTAGTTTATCTACTAATAATTTGAAATCTGAAAATTAATACTTAAATCTAAAAGAGCATTTATTATCTTCTTAATGTTGTCGTAGGCGATTGCAGTTCGATAAAATAAATTAAGTTAAAGATAAGAATATATTAGAACACTAAAAACAAAAGCAACACGGATAAACGAATAGGAATACCATGAAAAAACTTGAATATTTAATTGTTCGCTTAGAAAGATACGAACAAACGTGCGCTGGATCGAAAACCAAAGTACATATCACATTGAAAGCGAGCCACGATTGTTAAGACCTTAGTCGGCCATTGTGAAGTTGAAACGGTTAACGAAAATTTATCGCCGATCTTAGATTATTTCTATAATCGATTTTTCCGTTTCGCTGCAGAACTCGAGGAACAATCGATTTATATCTCGTAAAATTCCGTTTAATCCTTCCAACCTTTTCCTTTCCCGTATAAATAGCTGCGAACCATTAAGCACGTCACAAAGATTGCAGCTCCGGTATTAATTCCCAGCCGAACCTTCCATAACAGTAAATCTGATTTATTGATAAAGTTGCGCTTTCATGTGTGCCCTAATGTCTCGGTTCACCAACTCTTCCTCCGCGATAAGTTATTGTACCATAGGTACTAAACGAAATGTGAATTGTTTCAGAATACTTAACAGGTTTCGTACTCCGAATGAATCGATCTCTGGATATTTATGTTTTTACACTCGTAATTATACCATTTTACCTTTGCTTTTCCTTTTTCGAAATTTTTCCTTTCTGCAAATCAAATTCACCCTTTTGCGACCAAATTCATACCGATAGTTATTTAAACTATTTGTTTCAACTTTCAAATTTAATATCAATTTGTACGCTTATTTGCAACATAATACAAATTTTTTTTGCAAATAATTAATCTGCGGTAATTATTTATAGAACTGCGTTTAATTTTTTAAAATTTGATACGAATTTTATTATGAATAATTTTATTACAAATAAGTAATAAATTTGAAGTGCAAACAAATTGAAGTACAAAGTCTGACTGCCAACAAACTGTCAAAAATGAACTTTTTGGAAGGTTTATCAGCTCTGATTATACAGGGTATTCCATAATTATATTAACATCTAGAAAGGGGTGATTTCTGAGATCATTTGAAGTAACTTTTTCCTCAGAAAAAATTCAGCTTTGTTTATAAGTTATTAACGAAACCTTTCCAGGTGTTAATATAATTATGGAACATCCTGTATATGTACAAATGGATTGCATATACAGAGTGCATGATTTGAACGAGTGTAAGATTCTACACTTAATATAAATTCAACAGGATACTAAAATATGTTGTTTTAACTAACCTGAACGATTTTAGTAGTTATAATTTCGTATTATACATATATAAGAACACGTCTTTTTCCCTAATTATTATACGATTTCTTATTTAAAACCAAGTAAAAAATAATCCTAGACTAGTTCTTAAGCCATCGAAAAAATATGTATTTCTTTCCCTCGACTCTGAGTGTATTTTTCACAAATTAAATATAGATAAATTCAATTAAATATTCAAACAATTAATGCAAATGCAAAGCCTAAATAATATGACATCGTTTAGAAATGACAACGACAAATCTCTCTGCTGAAGTAATAAATATTGATATTTAATACTAAAGTATTCAAATAGAATTATAACGAGAATATTATGCTAAAAAGGAAAGTTTTCTAAAAATAACTTAACACGTGTTTAAAATTCGAACTGTTAAAGCGAAATTATTGTTACCTCCTAGAGAAACAAAATGAATATTTGAACACAAAAGGGCGAGCTATCAATCATACCGCACACATTGAAAACAATGATTAGTATTTACAGAATCTTTATTTCGGTAAGTGAACAAAGTACGACAGCTTACAACGTTTCACTTGAAGTTGCGCAACTTCACATTACATAGTTACGTGTAACATTAACCTCTTAGCTAGTACTTAACACGATTAAGTGTGTTCTATTATCCACAGGTTTACGTCTCGTCTTGCATATATTGTTCTGACTTAACAGCATCCGTTATATGTGTACCTTACGTGCTACTCTATTACACTGTACACGGTGAACAAGGTAAGTTGGTTAGCACTATTACATTCCCATATTTTGTGATAAACTGATCAAAGTTTTCTTGCCTATCAATGATACGAGTTTTAAAGATCTGCAAAGTTAAATAAGTCGCGAACCATCGTGCAATATCTCAAGAATTTAGAAACAAATTTCAAGAACACCAAATTATAAAGGATTTTACTGTGTTGAAAATAGTTAAACTATTTTTCTGAATTTTTTAAATAACAATCTTAGCTATTATTTTGCTTGTTATTTAGCAAACATTGAGGTAAATTCGTTTAACATCGTTAACAAACAGCTGCGTGTAAATTATAGTGTAAAAGCAACCGTTGACACATTATTATGATTTAATACTAGTTTATCGTTCATTATGAAAAAAGGTTCTTGCAAGTTGGAATTTAATGTGAAAATTAATTATCACTGCTCGAGGGTGACACGTATCATTTTATTTCCACTGCGAAAAATTATATAACACTCGTGTATGTCAATATATGTCTAATACGATAATATAATATCAGTCGTTGAATTGACATAATTGCACAAATTACTAATGCAAAGTATTTATTCACAAAAATGTTCTTCCATCGCATCGTTCGATTAAATAATAAAATGTTTTCCATCAATCTCAGGCAACAAGTTTTGTTAGGTATCGTAAATAAAGAACATATACAAGATTGATATAAACAATAATAAAAATTATGTTTGGAATTGACTTAGAAGACAATATACGATGTTTAAGAAATGAGAAAAAAATTATAATGAACTGTAAATTATAATATCTATTTTTAATCAATTTCGATTGATTCACTGCATAGTGATGAAAATAATATAATAAAAGTGTTCGCGTTACACTGTCCACCCTGTATAGTGCACACACCCTGTTCTCGCTCGTGATTCGACATCATCTCTATCCTTCCATTTCCATAATATGACTCTTAAAAGCCGAAAACTACTTGTTATTCCATTCACACTTTACACCGGCCACTGATTCGTGTCTCACATTTGCTCACACGGGTTACGATTACGAGTCGAAAACACCATAAAATGCGATGAAAAATATTACCTCTGAAACGCGTTGAATAGTAAATGAACCCTACGAGGATACAGAATACATTTCTGGGATTCGACGATATATTAATTACGATTTCGCGCTAGACGACGTTACAAACAATGTTTCGTTCGATAAACTCTATTTACTCGATCTCGCCGAGCACTTACGAATGCACTGACCAACTCCTGGAATTATTGTTCTCGTTTGCCAGTCCTTTTGACACCTTCTATTCCGTACAAATTCTAATGAACATTTTCAATTAACAGCGACTATTCTGCAGAAATAATAGTCCGCGTAATTAATAATTTGATAACATAAGTAATGCCGAAAAGAAGATGCTTGATACATTCTATAAATTCTCCGATTCTATGTACACACATTTGTTCAATATTTTATAAATTGCAAATTACTTTAGGCAGATAAATTAGCACGAATTGTTCAACAGCTATTAACAAGAAATACATTGCTTTTAAAATTAATGTATTTGCAACTTAATGGAGAGAAATGAAATTTCATTAAATTGTAACACAAAGCAATGACAGTGTAGGATTGCTTGCGTAAAATTAGGTGGATTTTATGTGTTTCAAGTAACAAATAAAATATCGTTTTCAATAGATTCAATTCTGCAAGATATTTTATATAATAAAAGAAACATATATAAAAAATATATAATGAAATACAAGTGCTGTAATAGTGGCTATTTCATAGACAAAATAATGTTTGTTCGACAGCAAAACTATAATATAAAATAATAGCGTGAAGAATACAAATTTTATACTTTATTACAGCATTGCAAAATTTCCTATTTTTCAAAAACGCTTCGTTCAGATATGTAATACGTTCCGCGTGTATTCCTATTCTTCATCCTTTTACGATTTCTTAAATGTTCTCTCGTCATAGAAAACGAATTACTCTCCCTGCGCTCGCATTCAATATGCATGCATTCGTATGCACTCAAATAGTGACATCGCGGGGAAATCGTTCAGCGTCGTGACTTTTGTGCATACACTGACTATTGTAGAACTTACATCTCTAGACACGTTTTAGATAGAGCTTCCTCTTTACGTTTATACAGTTTAGTCCCAAGTTTAGGCAACACGCGATACCGCCAATAAAATCTTTCATTTAAGATGATTTGTCTAAAAAATTCGAAAATCTGTCTTATTTCAACGTCGAATTATTCAAACACAATATCATTCAGAAGGAACAAAAAGATTTGTACATTTTGCATATTTGTGTACAGAATCATTAGCGTGAAATAGAACATTGATACATAAAGAATTCGCCTCAGAAATAAAAATAAAAAATTTTATTTTTAAAAATAAAATTCAACTATGAGAAGTGTCATTGAAATCAGAAACTGGTAAACAAAAGAACATAAAACGAGCACAACAAACAGAGTTCATTGCTCATCTTTGTAATAAAAATAATTTGTATTCATAAAAAGAAGGTTCAAGCAGAGCAGAAGTGTAACAAAAATCAGAAATTGCTAAAACAAATTCAACAGTATAGAAGGAGTAAAACAAAATTTAAAAACAAGTGCAATATAAGAATCGATATTTGTCATAAATTGGATAAATTAATGAACAATGGAGTTAATATCAATTTTTCAGAGGAAATAAAAATCATGGAAAGCTTAACGAAGATAATATCGAATGGAGTCGTATTCGTTAACACTTATTTTTTATCCGTCATCCGAATAAAATGTTGCTCAACCCTGATTCGTTGGAAAAGAATTTTTATTGACGGTTCACGAGCGTCCAGAATGAAACGGTGATGAAATACAGCACCCAGAAACACTCCGTCTACATAGTACCTTCTCTTACTCATATGTATGTACACACTGCATGCACAGTTACATAGACACCCTTATCGTTTATAAATATCAAAAGGATTCGCCCAATATTTTCGAAGCGATGCTTCGTTACATTTTCCGAGCTCCTCGTGCAACCGCGGCGTTTTCTTTTTAACCACCGGGAACAGAGGTCGAAAGGCGAACCGCGAGAATGTTCGCAAAAAATAGAATCAATTTTCGGGGCGACGTTGTTGAAAACGATTACTGAGCAAAGGGAAATCGTCTTCCAGCCACTTGGTCGACCGCAATTACGCTGCGAGCATTTACACGAACTCGTACCTTCATATGGCGACGTTTAAGACCACGGAAATTCTCTTATGAGATTAGAATGTTTCATTGGGTACCGCCTGTGCCGAAATTCGATGGAAAATTATATTCCAAGTATTGGTTGCTGAAGGTTGCGATCGATTGAAAACTGTAGTCGTAAGCGCATACACTGACTTACGAAAGTGCTTGAACATTGATCGTAGAAAAGTTTTACGGATATGTGTTATACAAATTTCGTGAAAATATTATTGGTAATGCAGTTAGTAGACTGAATTGTATGAAAAATCAAAATTTTCTGTATCAATTGTAAGAAGAGAACAATGGATCACTTGTTTTTGTTAATAACTTAATTCCTTTAATTCCGATTAATTCAAATTCCTTTAATATTTTTAGTGTTTTGAGTTTTACTTAAGCAGCTTTGTTACAAATACGTGAAAATCGTAATCTAGTAATTAGATTCGACTGCCACAATTATGCGAGTAAGAATTATAAAGTATTTTTACTATAAGGATACGCTTCACGAACGGTACAAAAGTATTTAAACACTTTCGCAAATCTTTTTCTTGCTTTCCGTTAATTAATAGGCCATTTTTATGTACGAAACTCAAAACCGGAAGTTGCTTTGTTTTAACACCTTCAGCTTTTAAGGAGTCTAACTTAAAAGGAAATAAAATTGTCAAATATCAACATTACTTTGCTTTATTGGGGAAATTTGTACGAATTTTAGCAAATTTATTGGACGTGTGCTTGAGTTGATTTTGACTTACCCTATACAATGGAACAAAACACTCGCGTACGATATATTCATAGAACTTCTTTAAGTGTTCCAATACTTTCGTGAATCAGTATATATTGCTGACAATTCAAACCAGTCATTATTTGCAAAACAATACAACTTACCAATTTTAATGACCTTAATGTATATTACAAATAATTTCCATTTCCGCGAACAAATTGTGGATCTTGTACTTGTTATACTCGAGCTGCTTGATTCTGTCATTGATAAATTAAATTGATGTACTGAAACGGAAATCATTCATGACCGGGATGTGAATTAATAAACAAAAAGATTATAGAATTTTGCAATGAGATTATGCAGGTAATGCTTATGTATGCATCATCGTAAACAATGGAAGTAAACAAGTATTATAGATTACTTTAAACATTAACATTTACAACATATTCCGCAATCATTAGGACCGCCGAGACTAATCATGATATCTTTTAAAAAACTGTTCGTTGTACTTTCACTTTAATTCTGGTGAGGTCGTAATTTACCAAAAATTGTTGTATCACTGTATACCAGGAGGATACAGTTAAAAATTTGGAGGATACATTAAAATTGATAAAGTTTGTAATCGCTAATGAAAATATAAGTATTTGCTCACGACACAGTAAGATAAATATATGGTACACAAAACAAGCAAAAAGTACATGAAACACTCTGATTTCTTAATTAACGGATTTGGAAATGAACAGAATTGGAAATGTTCGACAATGATCGATCATTCTAGATGTAAAATCAAATGCATCTTTCTCACTTTTACTTATCTTTCATAAATTCTTATTCGCATAAAACACTTTGCTATTTATTATACCATATCTACATTTCATCTGCTTAGAAACATTTATAAAAAGATGTTACGTGTACCAGTACGAAATCAGCTACGGCCTCCGTAAGCTTAAGAAATCCCATCAAAGTGATACTAAATCTTCTTCCTGAGATCTGCGCGAGACAGTATCTCATAAACTAACGAATCCGCGCAATTACTACGAACGCGTAACTTAATATCCGAAAGAACAAAGCCAAGTGAAACAAAGCCAAACTGTAATACTATTAGCTCGGTGGATATGAAATGTCGGATTTTCATTACGCGTAAATATTTGTCTCCTTGCTAACGTTGTCGTTTATGACGTAATCTCTTTCACAGTCTTATCGTGTATTCCCAGAGACGTCTCTTGTCAAAAAGAATTTCTTCAAAATTCTGTATTTCTGCCATTTAATTTGAGCTTCGTACGAGTACGAATTCGGCGTATATTCGTGTAGTTTTTTTTGTAAGCCGAGTTTATCCACTGAAAAGACCAGAACTTCTTTAGAAAAATGGCATTTAATACATTAAAAACTCATCGGGAAAGGTGTACCGAAGCAAACGAGTCATACGCTGATGAACTAAATATCTTCCGAAAAGAGATACGAAGTTTCATTCATATCAAAATCCGACATTTCATATGCATCAACCTAATAATAACATGCACAACCTAATAATAATAAATGTCTACATCGCAACGGCGTCTACCAGAGATAAAGACGTTTCCCTTTGTTCATCGATGGACCTACGAGATACGCGCTACGATAGGATAACGATCGGCGAGAACCAAGAAGTTTATTTCCACCGTGTCCGGCGCGATGTAATCTTTAAAAATGACTTCGTACCTTCGAGACACGCCGATGGTCTGCCGTGTACAGATCCCACGTAGTTGGTGACAGATCAACGAAGAGACCGCGGAACCGTCGACACTTATGGTCGTTCACTACCCGTGATGATAGTAGATCTTGTCCTGGCAGTTGCAGGTGGCGCCGCAGAACTTCCGTCGTTCCTGACCCTCTTTCGTTTTCGTATCACAGACCCAGGAACGAAACGTCCTGACCAGTTCGGCGCAGTTCGACCAATAATCGGTATGGTAGCAGGCGTTCGTGCAGAGCTGGTTGCGTGAGCAATGGTCCTTGCACATGCTGCACGGCTTTCCGGCCACGTACGGATGACCCATGCCACCCATGTAATTGCCGCTGCAAAAATTCGTTTACGATTCAGTGGCTTGGAAGCGATGCGCAGCCTGCCATGTATACGAGGGTCAGGCGATACGTATAAGTTACCCACCTACCCCCATGTAAAATACGATTAACCTCTTAGTTAAGCAGCATATATGAATAGCAACAGCTAGGTACAGTTACTCTTATTAATTTTCGGACAGAACGCTATTTCATTATACAGTAATTTCTCCCTAATTCGCGCTCAGATTGCGCATGAAAATTGCCAATTTTGGAACAGGAGATACGATTGTTTGAGTCTCGCGGCTCATTTTTATAGTTACTGATTGTCAACAGCTATAAAAACGAGACGCAAGGCTCGAATAATCGTATCTCATCGCGAATTAGGGAGAAGTTACTGTATTCTACTTTATGTGAGGTGCGCGATGTATCACGTCACTTATTGTGCGAAACGATTTGTCATTTCTTACCGATTGAAAATACACAAATAATTCTTTTCGAGTTTGAAAATTGTCATATTTTCATGTCTCATTAATTGACCGCGGATGTTAATGCAAATGGATACGTTTATAGGAAAGAGATAAATTTATGGGACTTGGACAGAAATTTGTTTTATCAATGGAGGATTCTAAAAATATAATTTCTTCTTTGCGTATTATGCATATTGCATATTTTCTACATGTATCTGTCTTATTTCTGCATATTTCGTATATATTCGAGCAACTAAATTCTAATAGCTTGGGGAATATAGTTAGAGGCGGCAATGTTTTACGCAAGAAATGTGCATGCTACCAAAGAAGTAACCATCTTCCACATTGTTTTATTTAGATAATTACGATTAACAGCACCATTAATTCTATACGAGGTAATTAAGTTTACATTTATTTCTAGCTTGTCGAAACCTTGTGGAGTGCATTAAAGAAAAGATCAATTATAGTTAGATAACAGATAAAATTCATGGTATAGACTACAATTTAATATGGACGCGTCACATTTTTGGAATTTGTTAGAATGATTTCTTTCTTGTGGTCCATAAATTATTACTGCAACCGCGAAACCTAATAATAGCTGCGATTTCTTACTAATTTCTTATTTCTGTTGTCTGAAAGCCATAAACAATGTTATGATCTGCATAAGATCAGACTTTCTAATAACAAGCCTCATGGGTTTAGCAAGAGTAGAAATCAATAATGACGTTATGTCATTACTTGACAGAAATGATACGCGGAGTTACGAAGATAAATAAGATATATTTCATTTTGTTACCTGTTAATAAGTAAGAGTTTTCAAGTCATAATGAACATTGTCCCATTTCTAGAAGGAATCGACCAGATACATCGAGTCCCGCCATCGTGATCACAATGCAATAGTATTAATTAACCGATATTCTTAGATCGCAGCGTCTGAATGCTTCGTTATTACACAGAGTCGACTAAATTAGTGCAAGCAGTAAAAGCTTGTCCCAGCCGGTACGGTATCTTCTGGCCAGCATAATGCCTCGCAATCAGAACAATGCGGCTCGTTACAAGGGCAACAAAAGCTACAGCTGATTCGTTGGTAACTATTCATTTAAGCAGAACTTGTTCCTAAATCCCTTACTAACAACCCCGTATTTATCTACTTCCGTTCGTTCTCAGCCGGGGCAATCTTCGCCCAATCTTCGAGACAAATAGATAAAAACGGCTCGGCCAACTTTCGCCGATCCTTACGGCCTGCCATTTTGACCATTTTTTTCTTCGGCCGTGTGGCCACGGTGCCTGGGAACGGTCTTAAGCCAATTTTCAAACGAAGCCGCGGCTGCAATTAATTTACATTTAGAGTATTTCCGGTAGAATCCACCATTGCGGCTGCAATCATCGCGCGGTGTTTTGAATTCAAATGGCCGCGGTCGTGTCCGTGAAATTAATTACGAGATCGCGCCCCCATCGCACGGAGGAAAAAATATATCTGCACACCGCCACGTGACGTGGTTTATTTATTACTCTCGGAGGAGGTGCAGCGATACGAATTAAGAAAATTAAACGGCCCGTGGTGGACAGAAGTCGTTCGAGACGGTGCTTGGATTATTTAACAGGTCATCCACCGACGATGATTTCATAATTTTTCAGAGCCTACAAATATCAACCCCAAAAGCTTCTGTTATATCAAAGTAATTTAGGTAATAAAACCGAAACTAGAATGTTATGACTCTATTATGATGATTCGGTTTATTCGAATCTATTACAATGAAAATGAATTTTTAAATGTAATAGCTAACAATTAGTAGAACCCATTAGTAGAACCCAACCCAATTAGTAGAATGTATTAAGAACTCTTCATTAACGTGAACTAATCATTTCGATTGCGATTGTCTTATAGAAAAAGAATTTTCACCCTTAGCACTCAAAAGATTTTTCTGATTTTTTTTTATTTGATCAACAAAGTTGAATTGAAATCAAAATCATTATTTTTATAAGAATTAATAAATAAAAAGAATTCATTTTTGTTTATGCATCTTACATGCCTTTCTTACGGTACGAAAAACGAATAATAATTGAATATTATCGAATATGTAGTATCGTTATATCGGTGACAATCTCAAACATTCCATAAAATTGAAGTATTTTATTTAATTGAATTAAATTTGCAAAGTAAAGTTGTATGACATTAATAGTCATTAATTACGTTTAGAACCCGATAGCTTTTGTGTTAATTAAATTAAAATTGCAATGTAAGATTGTATGACATGAATTACCTTTTCATCAATCTTACGTTTTGCGAATTTTAATAAAAATTATGAAATTATCATAGATTTACGTAAAAGTGAATCTCCAAATCTGAGTCAACAAGACTAAGAGAATATTCTCAGGAGCTATTTCTTTATTTTTCTTGATCAATGCATTTCTTTTTGTGCTGGAATGTAATAAAAGCGGCGATTTTTGCGTAACGAGGCCAGGCTCCAATGAATAAAAATTCTGAATGACACTGTTTGCATGTTAAATTAAAACGCGAATTTCATTGTTCCTGTGACACGAATTACTCTGTACAGAAATTATTTTGTGAACGGAATATTATTTAAATATGACAAGGAAACAATTGCAAGCTGTTCCATTTTTGCAGAATTTTTCGGTCGTTTTTATTTATGACAGGTTTTAAATGTTCTTACGAATTATTCATTGTTGTCGTAATTCATAAGTTATGGCTAAACAAACAGATATTTCGATGCAATTTACGAGTTGTATATTTTCCTACTTTGACGGTTTATTTAGAGTAACTATTTACTATTAATTTAATCTTGTACTCAATTTATTACACAAAAGCTACATATAATTTTATTTTGTATTTAGATATTATATTTATTTTATTGAAATATTTCTGGCAGACCGAAAAATACTAAAGAAATTGATTCTTCTTCGACATTGCCAAATTAGCACGTAAAACTGCCTATTAGCAAGTTTTAAAGTTGCCATCTAATATCGAAACCGCTATTTTTCATCTTCGTAAGGCAAGAACCAAGATATATACAATACAGTATACGGTTTCTATGAAAACCATTTCCATACTAACAGCAGTTCTCGTTGCTCGAAGCTGTGGGCAACTTTTTAATCGGAAAACTTCTTAATAAAGGTACAATTAAATCATCAATGGGCGGCAAGCCTTAGTTAAAGTAATACAAGTTCCTGGTAGCTTTCTGATTGGAAAAATGAAAGAAAGACTTTACATTGTCGAACTTCTGAAAGCGTCTTACAGAGATTAAACTAGCTTAAAATTTTGTTTGATTATTTTGGAAAATCCAAATGCGTTTTTAGATTCAAACACATAACACCAATGTATTATATAACTTTTATGTACACTGCGTGTATATTGTTGGATAGTATTGAATTTCATATACAAAATAGATAAAATGGTCACTTATATATTGAGTTTTTCTTTTATCATTGTGGCTCGTCTATAATTGATTATATATTAGCATAAAAGCCTCAAAAAATTAATATCTACTTCAAAAAATTTTGCTATTTCTTACAGAAATAATGGTAACATGATTACAGTAAGCTATAAGTATTTTTATTAACTATAGTTACATTTAAATGCAGATATTATAGGTAATTAAACTTAGCTCTGTAATTAATTACATGACATAGCTCTGATTGTAACTAATTAAATGACTTAGAACTGATTATAATTAATTAAATGGCATAGCTCCGATTGCAATTGATTAATGACTTAGCTCTGATTACAATTAATCAT